TACATCTTCAGTTCGATAAAAATCCAGCTTCAGGTTTACCATTGTTTAGACTCTGACATGTTTTAATAGTCATTGTGGCTTGTGGTTAAAATGACAAATCTGGTGTCAGGCCCCATAATTCATTCAGTGATTGTTCCAAACTATAGCAAACAAATGGGGTGTTGTTGAGCAGTGCTTGAGTCACACACACGTTTAACCTCTAACTGATGTGACAATCTCAATTTAACAAGAGGCCTGGATGAACTATAGCAATGCACGTTTCAGATGTTAAGAATGAAGTCACCCGCAGCTATAGCGCTTAAACTTGAACACTGGCCACAAGGGCAAGCGGTCTGTCTCTGGGAGGGTCGGCCAGTCAGATCAATAGTTGAGACGTCAAACTGAATTGAGGTCAGTCTTTGTGCATACGAGGTCTCTCATTTTTGGCTCTCTGTCAGGAAGCCAGCTGCTGAAGTGGAGCTCCTGCCCTGCGGCGGGTTGAGGGAACGCACGAAGCCGTACTGGAGAAGTTTGGGACGATTGCTTTTTGGGGGTGCTGAAATCAAAAGCCCATTTATTTAGGTGTTTTTCATTTGAAAATGAAATCCATTTCGTTTTCCAAACCGAAAATCCAGAGCAATCACAATCTCATAAAACTAATGACCGTGACTAAAAGAAATTCCTCCAGCACAGTCACTGGGACCGAAACATTCGCAGCATTTTAACAAAGTCGTCCACCCTTCCCTGTAGCTGTTATAAATCCTTAAAGAGGGCCTGACGAGGATATGTGGCAATGGCATCAATATTGATGTGGGAGAAAGTCCCTCCAAAACCCAGTTAAGCTGCAGGGCATCAATATTGATGGTGTTGCGTTGCCAACTGCCCCAGGGCAACTCTCAAATAGTGATTACCAAAACGCAAGAGTTTGATTATAACGCTCCCAGAATAGAGATCTTCAGTTTAATGATTTGTAAATCTCCCTCCAAATTGTACTCTTTAGATTCTCAAATGGTCTGTATGTTTCTCATTCTCCTATTTGTGTAATCTGTGAATGATTCGAAACCTCTGAGAACTAGACATCTCTTAAAGGAACCATTCACGCAAAATTGCACATTAGCATTTCGAATCAAGACACATAGCAGTGGCTTGACATGTTTCTCACAAATGCTTGTGTATGGATCCAGATGACTAAATGTACAGTGCTTTTATGTTAATTTTATGCTTTCATTTTTTTGCTTTCATTGTATAGGACTGATTCTAGACAATTCTATAAGAGTGGACAGAGCGATTAAAGCGTCCTGGATTCACAGGATTTTTCTTGGCTACATGTTTGCGGGCGAATTTCCCAGGGGGTTTCTTCTTCCTGTTTCCTGGCCACTATGAGTACCTTGTAATGCCGTATGGGCTAGCCAACGCTCCGTCGGTCTTCCAGGGATTCATGAACGAGGTGTTCCGGGAGTTCTTCCTCCGCTCTGTGATTGTCTACATTGACGATATACTCATTTACTCCCGGAACGAGGCCGACCCTTGACCAACCGTCCATCTACCTGGTCCGAGACATCCTGGACTCGCAGCGACGGGGTGGTCGGCTGGAATATTTATTAGACTGGGATGGTTATGGACTGGAGGAACGTTCCTGGGTGGCCAGGGACGACATTCTGGACTCACTGTCCGGTCTACCGTTCACTCCTATGGACTGTTCTGGACTCTCTCTACTGAATTCTCCTAGAAAGACTTACCTTCTGTTCCTCCCGCGATTCTCCAACGACTCCTTGGAATCTGTTCCACGATCTCCAACGAAACTTTAATATTATTATATTATATTAATATTACATTTTAAACTATTTAAATTATGTATTTAAACGTTAAATCAATTCTAAATTATTTTCAATTCAATTTCAATGTATTTAGTACTTTTTTAAAAGAAATGAATACTTTTATTCAGCAATGATGCATTAAAGTAATCAAAAGTGACAGTAAAGACATTTATAATGTAACAAGATTTCTATTTCAAATAAATTATTACTATTAGTAATACTTAAATTTATTAAAATAAATACTAATACTAGTTTTTTTGCTTTAAATTTATATTAAATAAATTATTCAATTTTATTTGAAATATATTATTATTGAATAAATATTTAATTTCTTATGTCAACATGTTTCTTTTTTTAAATTCATATGAAAACAATGGTCTAAATTATTATTCAATTTAGATTTAGTACTTAATTCAAATAATGTAATACCGTGTATATACTATTCAGTACTACTTGTAACACTAATTAAAATAAATAATACTACTTTCTTTGTAAAAAAAATTATGTAAAATAAATAATCTAATAATTATTACTACATAATTATTACTTTTATATTAATTTATAAAAACATAATTTATGTCAACATGTTTCTTTTTTTAAATTCATATGAAAACAATGGTCTAAATTATTATTCAATTTAGATTTAGTACTTAATTCAAATAATGTAATACAGTGTATATACTATTCAGTACTACTTGTAACACTAATTAAAATAAATAATACTACTTTCTTTGTAAAAAAATTATGTAAAATAAATAATCTAATAATTATTACTACATAATTATTACTTTTATATTAATTTATAAAAACATATTAATTTCTTATTTATTCTGTCAAAATGTTTATTTTTGAATTTATCAAAACCGAGGGACCAAACACAGCTAAAGGTTTTCATTTTGTGTATCAAGGTATGTACTTTTTGACTAATCACTTAAGGCTATGTTGGAAAAGATTACTTCCATACTACTCATGCTATTTTTGCAATTGTCAAAATGTTCTTTTTTTTTTTTTTTAATGTATATGAAAAAATATGATCTAAATTATTATTACATTTTATATTAAATAAATGATCTAAGTTGGCATCAATAGCCCTGTGGTTAGTGCATCAACACTAGCACAACTGTGCTCACAGTGACCCGAGATTGATTCCTGTCTCGAGGTCCTTTGCTGATCTCTCCACCCAATGCTTTCCTGTCTGCTCTCTACTTTCCTGTCCATTAAAGGCATAAAAGCCCATAAATATAACTTTAAAAAATTATATTATTATATTAATATTTTTATATTGTATATATCTTTTTTAAATAATAAATTAGCTAAAAAGTTATTAAATAAATATTAATTTTGTTATTTATTTTAATATTCTTACAACTTTTTATTTCAAGGTTTAAATCAGGTTTTAAATCCCAGATTTTAAGTTCGGTTAGGTCTAAGACTTTTGGATTCAGAGAATGTTTTTTGGCAGAGAATGTTTATAACTTCATAAATGACAGTCATTTGAGTTTTGCATGCACAGATTGTGTACACGCCTGTACATCCCTAACAAACTCTATATGCCCTTTGCAGAGCTGCACATTGATTCCTGATCTCTGTGCGAACTCCACTGTCATTACACCAGCACTGATGGATCTACTACATTAGATCACAGTCATATTCTATCGAGTTGTTCGTTACAGTAAGGACAGGGTAATTGTTGCAGATGACATGCCATTGAACTGTTAACAGAAAGGGAACGAGTTGAGATACAGCACTCAGTCCTCGTGGCCTTTAGGCAAATTTCCTATCGTGTTGACAACATCTGCCACTATATACTGTGTTTGTCTGAGCAGTTAGTATCTGCATGTTTTGATCAATTATGTTTACTTAACTGATTTTTAAAGCAATAGTTCACCCCAAACTGGGGGATTGGGGGATATCATGCTTGAAAAAGGACAAAAAAATAACACCACAAAACAGTCCATATGACTATTTTCAGTCAGCTACAGCACAGAGAAACCCATGCCGTTAGGTATTGATGACTATTTTGATACCAATGCACCTTTTCTGAATCTGACATAAACACAAATAAGATCTGAGATGCTTGGTTGTATAACGACTTCTCTGCTCCTCAGTTAGGACTCAGTTATGACTTTGAAAATCCCTTGAAAATCCTTTACCTAATTTGGTGTTCCTGTTTTTTTTTTTTAATTGATGGTATCTTTTTGTCAACTTGTTTTCTTTCAATTAACACAAGTTTTGTATTTCTGTATTTTTGGAAGTGATTGACTGTAGGCCTCACTGGTCTGAGCTTAAGCACTTCAGGTTTTAAGTGAAAAACAAACAAAAAAAAAAACATTTGAGCATACTTTTGGCAATGTTTACACAAAAACTGAGGTGCATAAGCTCAGAAAAATGAGGCCTATGATGATCAATCAAAGAAATATAAAACATGTGCTAATTGAAAGAAAACAAGTTAATAAAAAGATTGAATCCAAAATTTGGTAAAATAGCATCATTTTATTTATAGAAATGTATAAGCAATTTTTGTAGGCCAGACATTTTTGACTTAGAAGAACACCACATATGTAAGGCGTTGGGGAATAAATCCATAAAAAAGTACAAAAATTATACTTTTTTTTTTTCTTTAGAAAGTTTTAGAATTTTTTTTATTTTAAAATTTAGCATTTCTGGCAAAAAAGAAAATCATCCCCGGGTCAAAATGACCCAAACACAAATGATTTTTCAGTCTTTCTACTTCAAAAACCTCACATTTAATTGAATGTGTAACATGCCATTTTTTATTATTAATGAAATTTAATATCAAATTTGAAATTGTTTAGCCATTAATGATCTTTTTGGAGGTTGATGATAATAGTCACTATGAACTCTCATAAATATTCTTTAAAATGTCTCCTTTCATCTTCCATGTGAAAAAAAAATGAAAAGACATGAATGACATCAAATAAATAAAGTAAATTCAAAATACTGTTATGTGTATATATATATATATATATATAAGTATCTTTTGAGCTTTTTGTGGGTCACAGTATAATGACCTCACATGACACTGCCTCTTGATAACCGGCTCTTAAATACGTATTTAATACGCATTTAATATTGTAGCATGCAGTTCCACACCAGAAAGAATCGAGGGGCCCGTCTGCTCGTCATAAATTACACATGCACTGAATTCATTAGTCTGTGTACTGTTTTGTCTTGTTCCCTCAGCATTTTTCATCGCAGACACGCAGCGATTCCAAGCCGGTGCCACAGAGGTTGATTGAAGCCCCATCCAACTTCTCACCTGCAGCATTCTGCTCTGTGGATCTCACTCAAGGGTAATTGGGAACTCACATTCTGGGACCAGCTCTGCCTTTGTTCCCCTGCTTGGACGCACTGACCCGGATGTGTGAGGTCGCAGGCATGTTAATTGGCGCGGGGTGTTGCAGCTGCATGATTTTCCACGAGTCTGTGTGTGTGTGGAAATTGCTCATCGGAGTGAATAAATCTGTTTCCAGAGGACAGAGGAACACTATTAGAAACAAGCACATGCTGATTTAACACATTTATGAGCAATTAGACTTTGATAGCGCCATCAATTCTATGTATGTTGTGTAAAAGCTTTCTCCGTCATCATCTCGGAGTGTAAAGCACAAACCTCCGGGCCGTTCGAGGGCTCCCTCACCTGTCCATCTGTCATTAGTCTCTGTGGATCCGCAGTCAGCCGGCTCTGTTCTGGACAGGAATAGTACAGCTGTCCCGGCGGACTCTGGCCTGTCCCGCAGCACCTGTTCTGACCTCAGGGACAGTTGTCTCTCCATTTGTTTTTTTTGCCATGGCAAGGTGTCCTTGGCTCTGGGCTGCCCTGCTATGCAGTAAAAACATAATGATTTATGAGTTATCAAAGCTTTCAAAAAAAACATTTAAATATTTACTTTCATCAACAGAAAATTGCATTCTAACCCATTATTTCCATAATGTTATGCATTTCTCTTTTACAGGAAATTCAACATCTACATCTGCAATTCTACAGAAACTGCATATCAGCGCCCCGGCAACCAGTATACTGCATAGCAACACCTTAGTGGTGAGTTTTGCACAGACAATCACCACTTGTTTTTATTTAGTACAATTTAGTACGTCTTGTTGTAGTGCAGGTGATTTTTGCTATATAGCACATTATTTATGTGCCACTACTGTAATCACAAGCTATTTTAAAAGTTTCATATTTTTAACTGTGCAGTTATGCATTATATCCATATCCAACAAAATTAATACAATCTTAAAAGCTCATGGGCATGGCTTTAATAATCTTAAAAAAAGGAAGAAAGAAAAGAAAAAAAGAAGAAAAAAATCTACAGTAGTTATTTTTCAAATTTTTTTAAATATAATTTTCCTAGTACAAATTACTTTCTATAAAATGGTTTTAAAATCCTTTATCCAGTTATCACAAATGACTACAAAATTCATTATGACCCCAAAAGTCTGAAATCCTGGCATGGATTTGTCCAAGGAAGCCACCCCAAAAAAAATAAAAAATAAATAATAATAATAATAATAATTTCAGTTGAATTTTAATGATTCTGTTTATTTATTCAATAAAAATACACTACTATTCAAAAGTATGGGGTCAGTAAGATTTCTTTAAAAAAAATAAATGAACACTTTTATTCCGTAAGAATTAATTAATTTGAACAAAAGTGACAAAGACGTTTATTGTTTTATTAAAAAATTATATTTCAAAAATGTTGTTCTTTTGAACTTTCTATTCATCATAGAATCCTGAAAAATGTTTAACTGCTTCCATAAAAATATTAAGCAGTACAATTGTTTTCATCACTGTTAATAATAAGAAATTATATGAGTAATGATATTGACTAGCTGCATCTCGGTCTGGTCTGGGGACTGTAAAGCTTCAGACTGGAGGTCTGTGCGGAGAGTGGTGAGGACAGCGCAAAAGATCATCAGCTCTTCACTGCCTTCCATCCACACAAATGCTGTCTGGCCTGTGCCCAAAATATTCTAAAGGACCCCACCCATCCTCACTATGGACTGTTTATGCTGCTGCCCTCTGGAAAAAGGTTTCGCAGCATTCGGGGCAGAACAGTAAGATTCTGCAATAGCTTTTATCCACAAGCTATTAGACTTTTGAACTCAAAATAACTTTTCTAAAAACTTTTCCTCAAGCGCGGGGCCCGGTGCGACCGCACCAGTTGCACCCCCCTAAGGACGGCCCTGTGTGTACTTATTAATTATTTATATGCTGCTGTTAAATTATTTTTAATGTTATATTCTTAATTCATGTTGGAGCATTTTTTTTATCTTATCTTATTTTATATTATATTTTTTTAAAAGATTTTGTACAGTAGTACATGTTTTAGTTAGTGTAGTTTTTCTTTATGAGCCAGTGAAACGAAATTTCGTTCATATGTGCATCCTACATGTACAGTTGAATGACAATAAAGCTACCTACCTACCTACGATGCTGAAAATTCAGCTTTGCATCACAGGAATAAATACATTTTAAAATATATTCAACTAGAAAACAGTTATTTTAAATTGTAGCAATATCTCATGTTTTTACTGTATTATTAATCAAATAAATGCAGCCTTGGTGACCATAATTGACTTATTTAAAAACATGAACATATTTTACTGACCACCAACTTTTGACTTGTAGGGAATTTGGTATATTTTTTTAAAGACACTATGTTGATATTCAGTAACCCAGTATTTACACAATCAAAATAAATGCATTTTCAAATCTTATTTTGAAAAAGACAAAGGTTAAATCAGTTGAGTCAGGTTATGTAACGCCTGTGCTTTCTATGTCTCTTACTACTCTTGTAGTCTAGTATGTACAGTACATCTCCTATAGGTCTCTGTTCACCCCTGCTTGACACCCTCCGGCTCACATTTGCCCCACTTCACAACACAATGCTGTTGTTAATGGGACTCTTACCAGTAATTCAGCTTTTACCTCGGAAAGTGGGTTTTGTGCTGGCTAGCGTTGTAAGTCCCTCCCTTGTGCCATTTGCAGCAGAATGCCAAACAGAGACAGGAATGGTATGTTCGACACTGACCCGTCCATGACCCCTACCTTATTTTGCAATCGCCCCGCTGGGTGTGTCGTGTTGGGATGTTGCGTATGTTGCTGGTGTGCGTGTACACTATTGCATAGTGTTGCAGGAGATTTAAAGCATGAACTCTCAATGCATCTATCTGCATGCAAGCACACCGCAAAAAAAAAAAAAGTCTATTGGTGATTTTCAGCTCTGCCGTTTTGCGCATGGCTGCGATGAAGGTGTGAGAAAGCAAAAAATGTGTGCATGCAGGGGTGAATAGTACGAGATGTGTGTATTAAGTGCTGGTGTGTTGGTTGGCCGCCCCTGTTTGTAGCTCCCAGGGAGATCTGTGACCGACGCTCCTCAAGTTGAAGGTTCATCCTCAGTTCAGTGGAAGGTTCACTCAGCGGTCAACAGGCTATTCTGCTACCAGGGCATTCTCGCTCTTTCTCACTCCATCTCTCCCTCCCTCTCTGGCCTTTTCTCCTTATTTTCTGGCTGTAAGCAATCAGGCAACACTAACTACTATATGTATTAAACACAGAGATTGGGTTGTTTTCACCTTCATTGTTAAAATACCAGTAAATCGGCTTGTTGCAGGTGCTTTTTTCTGCTTGAGCTCAATGTTTGTCTTCACTGAGGTATGGTTTTTGGCTGTTTAATGTATCATTTAAGTGGTCCTTGCAGGCAAACAGATCTTTTGAATACTGGCCTGGCATTGCTGTGCAATTTTACAGTCCCTTTGTCTCTCATCAAATGCAATGACCTATTTCGAGGCTTAATTTACAAACAATGAACTAATGTGTTTAAGCACGTCAGCTGCAGCCCCATTCTTTCATATGATGAAAAGGGTGAATAAAACCCTTGATGCCATAAATAAAGTAGAAAATCACATTTCAATCCTGGGCTGCATAAACTTGAGTAGTGCATTATGAAAAATGTACAATAAAAAAAACTAACTAACTGAATAATAATAATAATAAATACATTTTTAATAAATGCATTTATTAAAAACAATCACATTTTATTTTAATAAATTGTATTCATTTTATAATATTACATAAAACATATATAACAATATTATTTATTTATAT